AACAATCTAATTATTGTATAAATAACGAATTGGCGTATAATGCTACGTATTGATGAACGATTCTATCCAATATACAAATAAAAATACCAGGTCTTTGTACAAATTTAACTTTTATCGAAGAGATTATTGGCTGGACTTCGTTTTTATTAATGAATGTAAACGGTGTACGTAAAAAGATTTGGAATGACGCAATGTTGTACATTGTTAACGTTTAAAAATGCTTGTATGGCTGATTCGTGCCTTCCAACAATTTTTTATTTTAAGTATTAGAATAGAATGTCAAATATTAATTTTTTCGGAATCTGGAATAACAATAATATCTCATGACGAACTTTTAGAAAGCGTAGACCTTTATCGATCTTAATCCGCACATGGCATTAGTTTAACTGTGAAATTGAAGTCAATTTGAAAGTCCTTATACAAATGGTTTTTAAAACTTTTAAAGTTACTAATTATAATTTAAATGATGTGGTTATACGTACCATTTCATAGGATTGAAAGGTGTCCTTCATTTATTATTTGTCGATTAAGTTTAAAAGAGAAATGTTACCCCTAAGCGTAGTTTATATAAATTCATAAATTCTTGAAAAATTGAAGCCCACATACGTGATTTAATAAACGCATGATCAGGCGTGAATAAAAATTGCTCGTGATCTTTGTCCAGTTGCAAAGTTCAGTTGCATACATCCTTATGATTAATTATTTTTTTGCAGCAATAAGCATATTTAATTTAATTATTTATTCGAAACTATATCTTGACTATCAGGATCATATTGCAATGACTGGATATCTTTATTTTTACTGTCTTTTGTTCCTTTGTCGTCGCGCCATCATAGGAGTTTTTAATCCGCCACGCACATTACAATCATGTATATGTATATGCATAATTAAAAGATTATTTAATGAAAAGAGGGAGCGAAACAAGTGAGCATAAATAAAAAGCCTAAAGTAAAACACACCTTTGTAATTACATTTTACATTACACACTTCATCATGCTAGAATTGGTCACGCATGTATCATTTTCATGTAGTGCTATTAAAAGCATGCAGAAGCAATATGACATTCGATCCCTAGTGTCAACGCGGAAATGTGAATTTATAATTGTGACCACAACTCAGCAGAATATTTTTGCGTGCACAAAAAAACGTTTACCACGTGATCATCCAACGTTACATTTATTAACACCGAATGTGTTAGTGGATTTGTAACCACGAGTATAACGCATAATGCTTTCCTTTTGTTTCCTTCTTTTGGTTTGATTTCAACGACTACTCACGTACTTAATTCGTATTTGGTTTGCGTGATGTTTTCAGAAGCTCGTAATGTGAAAATTTCGCGTTATTTTTATTTTGTTTTGCGAGCTTTGGCGTTTTTAATTTCAGGGAGGGTCGTGTACGCGTTACCGGCCCACGAAGGGCACAGGAAATCAGTTGTTGGCCCTCGACGGCCTTTCAGTGAGTAACCACTGATTTACTACTGCCGCGGCTTTCAGTGTTGACTTAGCAACGATACAATAAACTACATAAATTAAGCGCATTATTCAATTGGTCGGACGTGCCATATGAAGTCTTCACCCCACTCCCACAACCTCTATTACTCCTCTCCACTTTGGTTTTCTTATTCGTCATAATCAGTTTTGCCATGTGTAATAGTTGCCATTCATTTCGTCCGATTCAGTTTCATCTTTGAATGACTGTCATGTTTTGTTTGAAAAAGAAAGGATAAACAACACGGATGTATACATGCACCTCAAACGCGATCACGTCAGATTCATTAGTTAATCGGCGCCCGTAAGTATCAGCCTTGGAGTTACAAAGTCCTAAGCAGAATAGTTACGCCTGCCGTGCATAAATAACGTACTTCTTACGTCGTTTTACGAGGTGCAAGCGCAAGTCACGGTTCGCCGAACATTCATCTAAAGTAAACCAATTCTATGCAAAATCAAGATGAAGTGTGTTTAGCGGCAACTATGCTGTAGAGTACAAACGAGCAATATACAAATTCCAAGGACAATATACTTACATACTCCCCTTCCCCTGTGCCCCTGCACTGTGCAAAATGTGTTGTAAGGAATTTTGACAAAATATATAATTATTTTCTTGAATATTGGGTTGTTGAACAATAAAGTCAGTAATTTTCGTTACAATCTACTGTTAATAGTAACCAGCAAAAGGCCATTCATCATAGATAACACTTAAATTAGTTTCGCCTTTGATGGCAGATACTGGTCTATATACTATATAGAATTTCGTAATTTATATGGATTATCAGTGACCGAAAACCTTCTTATCTGAAAAATTATTTATTATACAATAATCCAATGTTTGAGCGTTCGAACACTTCTCGAAACACTAATTTACCCATCGTTGATTCCGACACAAAGTTAATTTACCGAAGTTAATTTACCGATTTTTCTCTTTTCGTTCGTGCTCTTTAAGAATGGCTAAACAGGACAACGGTGTACAACATGAATATCATCAATCGGGCCCTGTACTCCCGTCCGAAAGATATGCCTCTCATCACTGTGTCAAATCATCACAGTTGCTTCGATGACCCCGGTATATGGGGTAAGTTGTTTTTTAGATTGTTCAACGAACATACTTCTTGTATTTAACACTTTTCGTGCAATTTGGAAATTTGAACTCATATAACATTTATAATTCACATTCCTTGTTAACTTGAAAGCTTCTTATGATATCATATCTCGTGGATTCATTATCTACCATTAGCTTCTACTTATGTTATTACTTTCTAAAAGTAAATGCTTTATCGTACTTTCTAGAAGTACATAATTGATTCTATTCTGTTCAAGGAGAGATGACAATGGATTAAAATGTGTAGGAATTGTTTAATTCATACGTCGCGCGTGTACCCATTTTCCTAAAACATATACATATAATCTTTTCTTCCTCAGAATGACCGTCGTTCGAATGAAAGAATTTAAGAAAGAAAAATCTCTGAACTCATTTAGCGACCCTGGACGTGAAGCATATGTTTAATCGACGTAGGATGAGATGGTCGCTAGCCGCCCACGACATTTGTTTCACCAAGACCTGGCATTCGTATTTCTTTATGCTGGGCAAATGCATTCCTGTGATCAGAGGCGCTGGCGTGTACCAAGAGGCCATGGATTTCTGCATCGAAAAACTAGCCGCCGGCGAATGGATTCACGTCTTTCCCGAGGGAAAAGTGAACATGATTAAAGAAAACTTGAGGTTTGTGCGTCTTTCAACTCATTTTTTAACTCTCACTTTCTTTCCAGATGAAATCGATGAGTGTATTGAAGGAAAAGATTGAAAGAATTTTTGTTTCTGTTACTCGTTTGATTATAGATTAAAGTGGGGCGTTGGAAGGTTAATCATGGAATCGCCAGTTACACCGATGGTGATACCGATCTACCACCTCGGCATGGACCAAGTTCTACCAAACCAGCCCCCGTATCGGTTGCAAATGCGAAAAAAGGTTACCTTGAACTACGGCGAACCGATAGACTTTACCGCGTTAGTGAAGAAATTACGTGCGTCAAACGCAAGCGAAATAGAAGCAAGGAAAGCGATCACGGATCGTATACAGGAGGAACTCCAAAGGTGAACATTAGTTTCCTCGACCATGATAATACGTTTAAACTAGTAATTATCGTCTATAATTGATCATTTCTTTTTCAGACTGAAGACGATAACGGAAGAACTGCACAAACTCTCATGATGGTTATACAGGGGGCACGGTTGACGTAGCCCCGGCTAGCCATAATTTGCCAAAAATTAAACTATTTTTTAACATGGCAATAGGTGATTATCGTGCTCGGATTTGTACGAAGTCTGGTCACCTGTGATCAATCTATTAGTAAAATATAATGCAAATGTGCAATGTTCTGCGCATATCGGGCAATAGTGATATAGTTCTTTTCGTTTCTTTTTTATTACTTGTTTTTAGAAAAAGGAGAATGCTATGCCCATGACATTTGTAGGGAAGGTTTTTAATATAAATACAAATCACGTAAACTTCAAAACGCCATATACGTTTCACAGTTAACAGAACTGCGTACATAGCAACGTGTATAATTATATATATATATATATCGAAGGAATCACCGTGACATATTACACAAATGACACAGTTACTGTTTGTAAAATAAATTTAAATATGATCGCAAATTATGGGAGCTCGTGGAAACACACGTGTGCCACTTTACCGCATACTACTCTTTTCGCGCGTTTACCATTTTTCATTATCACAGAGCTTCGTAATTTGTGATCGTATGGCGTAACAAGCGTTGAACTATCTTTGTACGATTGATCGAAGTTATCCTGTGTATACTAGAAAATTAGAAACCTTTTGTACGGCTCTACATAGTTTGAATATAATATTGAATATAAATAAGGAAGATGAGAATTTATACATTGGTTAAACCTGAAAACGCTTAACGCTGTGCACCGAGCACAAAAGGATGAAATATGAAATTGCAGTGCTTATGATTAATCGTCATACATTTATAAACAGCTATATGCACATGTACATGTATATTTTTGATATCGTAAGAATTTACAATGACAGTAACGATAGATAACTAGACGATAAAAATACTGCAAGGATATGCATTGTTTGTATTTATTAAATTTTCAATTGTAAGTAGTAAAATACGTTCAAAGAGAAAACTGTTTTTCGGCAATCTGCTGTATCCAATACGATCAGCATTCGAACTATACTTGTGATATTCTTTCACGCCGCTGTTCCATTTTAATAAATTATTTTTAGCAACACAGCATGACGCCTGAGGGTATATACAGAAACATGTAATTGCAACTAAGTAACAATTAAGTAAGCTAATACGTTCCTTAGAAACAAATAATGGTTCCATTTACTAAACATATTTATTAATACGTACGAACATCTTCAAATTATATAAGTTATGTTATATTCCTAAATAAATATAGAATTTGTTTTTATCTGTTTCTCACGATCGTCGATAAACAAACATCGTTTATAATACTCTATAACTGTTATAAGGACAATTTAACAAATCACATTGAGAATCGACGTTACATATGAAAAATGTGACTATATTACATTGTTTTAATAGGATATTCACAGATAGATCTTGTACATTATATATATATATTTTTTTCCTTACATATAGATTACGTTGTTCATTCTCGCGATATTACTACCCTCCGAATGGAAAGATCGCGTACATCTTGGCACATATTCTCCCACCGTAAAGTACGTAACAATTCCGATTCTACGAGGCGACAGGATGAAAGCGACACACGATAATCACTTTTCTTATGAGATATCGAATCTGTACACTAGTACGTTATACATATCATAAACTTTAAATAGAGAGAATGGCATTTAACACTAACGGGACAAAGTTTACATGATACACTCATGACTGATACACTCTCACTGATATACATAGATACTATCTCTCTCTCTCTCTCTCTCTCTCTCTCTCTCTCTTATCTCATCACTTATCATTTTGTGTAATTATTTCTCTAAAGTCACATACACGGAATAGAATTCAAAGAACACGTTACACAAATAGGCGCATAAAAAATGTTCGATCGCGAGACTTGGATCGAAGTATAGGAGTTTCATTTACATTTGTTTCTTCATACTCAGTTATCAACTGTTTCAATGGACTGAATATGAGAGAGGGAGAGAGAGAGAGAGAGAGAGATTGAAAGAATTTATTATTTCTCAAGGAGTATGTAAAAATATGAAATTAAAAGGGAAACATTTTTTTTTAAAGCTTGTTCAGTATTTTAATTAATCTCTTACAATTTCGAATCCATCTTTGGACGGTGTTTAAAGTGTAGAAAATAACAAGAAATATTTCTCAATTCTAACAATGATTCGCGTGCCGCTAACATACATAAATAGGATCATTTTATAAATGATTATTTTGTAAACATACGAGTCACGTCTATCTATCTCCCTGTGCAATGTAATATATATTATATATATAATATTCATATGATTCTACAAAATGTAAATACACATTATACATGTAGAATTTTTCAAGTATCGCGATCGAGGAAAAGAATAATAAACACCATCACGATATCGAAACAAAAATAACATCATTTTGGTATGAATCGCGGTCACAGTTATCAATCGATGCGATCGTTCGACACATGTTTCTTTCTCAATTATCCTAACTCTATCATCTCATTGATAGCCATTGGCAACTTTACGAAGACTAGTTTTGTTGAAATTACAAATACTCCCAAGCAGAGCCGCTCGTTCGTTGGTCAATTTCGGGGAGTTATTCACCGCGGTAACCGGCGGTGGTGGCATTCTCGACGGAGGCGGTGGCGGAATGATGCTCTTAGCAGGAACTGCATCACCTTGCGGCGTATCTGCAGAACCTTAAGTTAATAAATAAATTGCACCCTTTCATGAGATCGGTAACATCGCTTGAACATATTCGACTACACTACGTTCAATCTTATACATTCTACATTTTCTACCAAAACCATCGATACATAATATATGAGCCGTTCAGTGCACACATCGATTAACTCCACTTTTTGAAAAATCTTAAATTTATGTGTCAAAGCACAAGTTATGACTATACCAAGTGCTTTGACACATAAATTTATGATTTTTCAAAAAGTGGAGTTAATCGATGTGTGCACTGAACGGCTCATATATAATCGAAAATACTATAACTGGTCACCAACTACCAATTACCCAAAGAAAATTCGATATGTATTCAAGCAATGGTAAAATGAGAGGATGCATGAACATGTACACAATTAGTGTTCGAATGATCGGTATGACCTACGTGAGAAAAATAAGCGTAGCACGCGCCATCAACTTTTGTGCCCAGCTAATGTAAAAATCAGGAAGATCGATTAATGTTAGTCATCAAGGAAGCTTATTTGAAAAGTGATCTTATACTTACGTAGCGATGGTGGTGTCAGTGTCCCGACACTGGTCGCCGTGGAAGTACTCGTAGGGCTGTCCGAACGCTCCGGGCTCTTGCCGTTCACGTGTTTCATTCCGTTCGCGCTTAATTGATTAGCGGAACGTTGTTCTTGGGCCAATTTCTGTTCTTTCTTCTAAAACATTTAATTTAGTTCGAAAACTCAGGACAAGTCGATGTAGAATCGAAGTGCAACGATATTTACCAGTTTATGTTTTCGCTTCTTCATCTCTTCCTCCGAACTCATCATTTCCTGAACCTTGACGAGCCTCTTTTGATGCCGCGCCACTTTCTGTTCATCCTTCAGTCTCTGTTCTGCTTTGTTCATCGCTTCCTGTAAAGCTTCTTTCAAATGACTGCTCAACTTGAAATGTGGTCTTTCCATGGAACCAGCGGCTAACGCGGCGTGTTTCGCTGATTCGAAGAATGGGTGCTCCAATAATTGTGACACTGTTGGCAGGTCTTGTTTCAGGGCTTCCGGTGACAGTATCACCTCTAACAGACTCTTTAGACTTGGATCACAGTATGGTAAATCTGAACATGTGGCTTCCAATAACGGTCTTCCAAATGCCAGTTCGTATAATACATGTCCAAACGAATAAACGTCCACTTGCGTCGTGGCGTGAAGTTTACGTCTTTGTACAACATAAGGCCGATAAAATGCCGGTAATCCTAATAGACCATTTTCTATATCTAACAATTTCGCGCATCTTTGAGTAAGAAGAATATTTCCTGTATGCAAATGTCCGTATGGTAGGCCCTTTTCGTGAAGAAATCCTAAAGCTTCCAAAATCTGAAAGAAATACATAGTTACAAAACCTATTTGCCTTGTTATTTTAGTATCAGCACCGAGGAAATACTACTAAAGAGTGCCCGTGTAATCGTTGGGTCAGTGAAGTCCCATAAGGTTGCCACTCTTTAATCATTTCTCCTCGATGATATCAGACAGAAGTTTTCTTACCTGGTGACCATACATAGCAATTTCAGGCACTGTGAGTGATTTGGTTTGTTTCGGATTCCCGTATTTCTTTATAAACGGTTGTTTGGGTTTGGTCACGCACAGAATGTCACGCAGTGTGCCCGGCGGATAAAAATTTCTAATCATTAACGCGCCGTTCTCCGTCACATGTTGGTACACGACTGATTCTATATAATTATGTTTCAACGTTCCTAAACTTTTAAAGACACCGTGCATATCCTTGTCTTGCAGGTGTTTGTCCGGACCGAATTCCACCCATGCTAACAACAATTCTTGCTTGGGATTTTGACGATTTTTCACCGTGTAGTAATGCTTCCTCAGCCGCCATCCCATATCAGGAATCGCCTTACAAACCTCGAAATTTGCATCGCTGCGTAAAGCTAGTGACACCTGTTGCAGAGCTATTTCTGTAAAAGAACGTGAAATATGCAGCTGTATAGTTTTGTTTTAATTATATTATTATATTCATTATTACAATTAGATCATACCATGTAAGGGTGCTGTATAATTATCCGGATCTAAAAATTTTTTCATAGGAAGCGACGATGCCAATATCGGATTCATTAGTATATTGTTTAGGTAATTCTGAAAGGTGAACAATAAGTTTATAGCAAATTGATTATATCTAGAATTTGTCAATAAAGTGTAGCTTACCTGTAGGGCTACTTGACGTTGAGCTATGAAGTCTGGCTCCATATTACCAATAATCTTTTTTGGTGGAAGTGCCAGGTCAATGCCTGATATTGACAAAGCTGCATTAAGCTGTACGAAGTCATTGTAGCGTCTGCTGACTCTCCAAGATTTCTCTGGAAGTGGACCTCTCTGTGTTTTGATCACGTACTCCTAAATCCCCAAAAAAATAATATAAACACAGAATTCTGAATACCAAATGATAAATACAGAAGTATGTACGATATATCCATATATTATAAACGCTAGCATAATCGCGATTTCCACATTTCTTTTACACGTGTAAGCTGCATTTTGTAAATACATATGTATCAAGTTTTTAAATGGAAGTGATTTAATTCTTATATTACGAGTGATATGAAAGCGTCCGAACCCCGCAAGGAAATAATGATCGAGACGCTAGTACGTGATAAGAAATAATGAGTTCGACGTAGTACGAAACCGATCGGATCGGAAATTGATCGGATGCGTAAATGCTTCACCTTTCATTGAGCAAATGTCAAAATAATAAGTATGTGTCAGGTGTCAAGCGTGCGCCGTACCGTGTGACCGTCGATTGTTCTTGCATTTTCAATGACGCTCGTCAGCTTTTCTGTATCATCTAGTAGCACTTTATTCGTGTATCGCTTCTCAAATAAAGCCATTGATCATTAATCCGACGGAGCGCAGAGCCCGTGCGGGGCGAACTGCGTGTATCTATCGCATAGTTTCCGCGAGTCGCCATGCATGACGCTCTTCTGCCTCATTTCAGCATTGGTAAACGCGTTCCACACTTATCTAAATCGAATGGTTCAATGACAACCAAGAAAAGAACACGGCTGATTATTGATACACCGTATCCACGATCAACGCGCACTATCGGCTTTAACCAACTCCTTTGCTTTCAACGTTCAGCACCCATGACACCCGTCTCTCACCATTTTATGTGTACACTAGTGATAACCACGCGAACCGAATGTCCACTATCATGGACACAAAGTTTCTATCGCGGCTTGAGTTTATCGCTCGTTGCGAGGCAAACTACAAAATTACATTATGCTTTTATATTCGGAATTGCACTCGAACAGTGTCTTGATTGGTTGTCACGAAGGAAACTGTATATCTCTCTTATTGTTACAATTCACAATACATCGATTAACGTTCACGATACTCATTGGTTCCTTGGTGTAGGTGTGTCGATGATAGCTAAATTTATCCATATGATAAATGAACAAATGGACATACGTATATTGGCAGCGATGAGATCTAATAACGAAAAGTGGAAGCGGAATTTTACCATTGAATCATATGAGTCATCAGTGCTGGAACAAAACAATATGTAGACCATAAATTGTCGCATTTGATCATCTTATGTTTACATGTCAAACCAGCAGCTTCATCGCTGCTTGGTCTCAAAAAATCCTAAGCAATGTAATTAAAGAAATGAATATAATAAACCATTCCTTAATTTAATTAATCCGTATTGTACAAGCGATACGTTTATTATTCGTATTTTCGCGGGCCGGATGCACACGGTGCCGCGGCGACGTAGTACCTCAACGCGTCGTCACAACTTCCGGCCATACTTTTGCATCGTTTTTTTCCGAACGTCGTCTGCCGTTGTAATCATTACACCGTGGTGATAGTACAGTACAACGAAGTAGAGTAGTGTCATGTCATAAGTGACGGAGTGCCGATTCTTGTTTCTCCGAAATTGTCGAGAATCGGAGGCTCATTCCTTCGCGTATCATTCTCTAATTGCCAAACGAACGCCGTAGCGTTACCCTATATTACGTGCAACGAAAAATCCCGCGATTCCCGGTCACCAATCGCTCAAATACAAGTCGCTTATTTCGAAAACGTTCGCGACGCAGAGGAGGCAGAGTTGCGGTGCGGGTCGCAGCCAGCCGATGATGGCACGAAACGATTTTCTACTTGCGAGCGGAGACATGAGGCCCGATACGTTTCCCTTCGGCTCGGGTTGACAGATCTTTAACCAGGTTCGCATACGGAGAGAACACGGGGCCCCGTTGTTGTTTATTCGGCGCGTGATCCGAACGTTCGACGTCGGTGCAACACTTTTTCCGCCGTTCTTGAAACGCCGACGGCGTGTTAATTAAACAAACAAACTGCGGCCGGGCGGATGTTAATCGGACACGCCGCGAAGAAATCTGGAAAGGACGACGTGCGAGTTGATAAGAAGAAGGTAGCGGCGGAGGAGAAAGAGGCAAGATATTTGGGACCATCGCGAGATATGGAGAATAACGACGAAGCGCGCACCGCGGCTGACCGCGCGTCGACGTCGAAGGAAGAACCCCTGGAGACGACCGCCGACGACGATTACGGCTGCGAGCATTACAAGCGAAAGTCCAAGTTTGTGGTGAGTCTTCTTCGATCGTTTACTATCTCGTATAATATTATCTATACAATTCACTCGAAATTTCACATTTCACTTACCAGAAAACAATCGATTAAAAATGTACATTCTTCAAGAGATGCGATTATTATTATTTAATTATTAATCACATCAATTCATTTGCGGTATTATATGCGCGTTTTCGGCTTTGATCACGTAGATGTACGGTGATCGGTTTGCGCGGTTCAACCTCATGACATGCTTTTTCTCATTTATTGAAGGTTTGCTGTTATACAAATCGTTTTTAGAACATTGTTACGGTAAAGCTCCACTTCATCCCTTTATCGTCGCATGGGTTCATGCATGTTCAACAAATTTGTATCGATTCTAATGGCAATGCAACGAATGCTAATAGACGTACTTTATATATATGATTAATTGGCCTATTAGATGTTCGTAAAGTAACGTCACGGGATGACAGTTTAATTATATTAATTCGCGTAACAGCCTGCCAGCGGGTATGCATTTTGAGTTAGCAGAGATGGATTATTCACTTTTTTTATGGAACGAATTTGATTCTCGGAACAATCGAAGCTTATACGATTCGCTTGTGTTACGCACCGTCACGAGGGCCGTCCGTATTTAACAATTATTGTTGTCCAACGATAAATCACACTGTCCGCTTGTTTTAAAGAAATGCAAACGAACGGATGACAATTAATAGTCGCCAATTTATATAGCCGGCGAATGTTCGCTCCGCGTTGAATAAACCAAATTTACATTTCCGAAGACGGTGTTCGAGCTAAAAGCTACCGTGGAGCGGATTTATTTGAATTTCAATAAGCGCCCTACGAATAATCGAGAGTCAAAGCGGACTGATACTATCTTTCTGGTTATCCTTGAACTTGCCGGATAATCGATAGCACATACAAACGTTTCGAAAATAAACGCCGCGCGGAGTCTCGCAAATTAACGACTGACACCGAAATGGGCACACGGGGAGCTTTTTCTGTTCCGTCGTTTGTAAACGCGAACGTGCATGCATACGTACATGTGATGCATGTATACGCAGCAAACAAATCGATGAAGTTCAGCACATGTGTTGTGTAACAAAACGCCCCCTTTCAAAGTGTTGCTGCCTGCCAATTGCCGGGATAAAGTCAAATGTCGTGCGCTGCTACCAGCGACCAGTGCTTCTGCGTTATTCCTCGAAATAAGCGCCGAATTGTACGTCTTCTTAATGCTCGAGAGTCTTCTCTTCTATTTAATTTGTCGGTAGAGGATCGCTCGGTTTACTGCTTACACGGTCTGCCCACTTTGTTTGCCTGAATGCATAAAGATAAGGCATCGAGATCTTTGCTTCACAAATATTAGACAAGAGAGTAGCATCGTGAACAATCTAGATAGGCTTTTACGACCGAGGGTCGACTGTGTTGCACACGTTGCATCTTGCTGGAGAATCGCACGATATTTGAATCAGCACTATTTTTCACGCGATTAATTTCTGTCTGCTTAACACTCGAACGATTGGGGAAATAAAACAAGCTTCGAATACAATTAATTTTCGTCATAGAGATTGTATTCTTATTAACAGAACTCGCAATTCGTTCCGTTGTTCATAAGTAAGAATTGTTACTTGAATTTTTGTAAAACTGAATCAGGAAAGTAATCTTGAGATTAGTTATTGTGCACAAGAAAATGAAAATAAAAGTGGGATAAAGGAAGTACCTTGAGATTATGGAATTTTTAGCTTAACGAATGATTCAGACCTGAATTGCTCGTTTCTTCAATCTTAATAAGATGGTTAATGGCTGTTTATTGAATACTCTGCGTACTTTGACGAAACATCGGACGTTATTAAGATGCTCTGGTGACACGTGTTTCGTTAGCACATGGTAAATTCAGACGATGTTGCACCGTCTAACAGAAATTGCAATTACAACCGATCATCTACTTATGTACCTTTGTCATTTGATTCTATTCCGTAAATAAAAGATTCAAATTATGTCATCTTGTCAAATACTAATGAAAGCTAATCTTTTAAATCAATTATTAAAGTTTTTTTTATTAATTCATATTGTACATTTTTGTATGGTCGGTTTTTTTCAAATTTCCGTGAAAAATCTTGTTGTATATTTGTCAAATTCAACATTGGCTACAAAAATTGACTGATAACGGTTAATGGTAGCGGAATTTATAACGAGAGATTATTATCACCTTCGCAAGTTGATCTGGTTTTATCGTGCGCCGTCGAACGGATTTGTCGAACGCTTATAAACGTCTGCTGCATCGAAAGGGTTAAGGATCAAGGATGAATTCATATGGGGACTAATTGGATTATTATCCGAGACCTTCGTTTTCTGAAGTGTGCAAGGACTCGTCGAAATCGTTTTCGTTACGTCCCGACGGAAAGTTTGAACTGTCCGAAACTGCCTAAACATTTTTTTCGACTCGCACAAAAATTAACACCCGAGTAACTAACTGGTTCTAAGAAGTGATTCATTAACAAATTAGAAGGATGAATTGCGATTTTACAAATATTTCTCGCGCCAAAGAAATAACGTATTAATAAGCGGATTCTGTTAAGGATATATAGGCTATATACTTAAACAATGCTAACATGTTGAATTTGTTATTATAGATTCCTATTACGATTAAAAAGCTACCTGCAAAATTTTGAATCAATTCATGGGTTCTTTGAAAAATTATAGTGACTTACAATTTCCATGTAAAAATTTTTCGTTAGCGTCAATAGTTAACGAGTAATTTGCAAAAAACTGTTTTTTCGTTTTTCGTCCATAACTCGTTAAATATTAATGCTAGCGAAAACTTTTTATACAGAAATTGTAGATCTCGTCGTCCTCTACAAGAAAGGTCTGATGCAATTTTCCCGTACGACTAACGGTTTAGGAGTTATTGAGGAAAAACGAAATTTTGTTCCAAAAGTTCGCCGTTTCGACGCTGAGATGGTCGGATTTTGTCAATGTCAATAAAATGCCAAATAATCATACTTAACTCGTTAAATACTGGAATTAGAAGAAAAATGCATAGAATCTTTCTTTGTAAAGGATGTCAATGCCTATAACTTCTGTATAAAAAGTTTTTCGCCAACATCAATAATTAATTGGATATTTCCTTCTATACTTTTTAGCACGTAGCTATTTGTTATTAGCATTGTTCTTCCGACGTCTGATTTCTTTTTAATTATTGGAAATGCGGTTTTCTAAGGTACATAAACTTTTGGGATTGATTGTATAGCCAATACATCCTTAATTGGAAGACAATGGAAAATTTGTTACTTTAGATTTAGAACAAATGAATCTGCGGGTCGGAGAACAATCTTTTCTTTTCTTTTTTCAATTTTCTTTTAGACACCATGTTGCAACAAGGTGTACACGTGTCGATACTGTCACGACGAAGAGGAGACGCATATGGTCAACCGAAAAGAAGTGACAGAACTGATATGCGTTCTGTGCGACACGCGTCAACCGGTGCAGGCCACTTGCCAAAACTGCCATTGCCGGTTCGGCAAGTACACGTGTCTCGAATGCAATCTGTTCGATGACGAAGACAAGAATCAGTATCACTGTGACGGCTGCGGGATATGCAGGCTCGGCGGTCGCGACCGATTTTTCCACTGTGCCAAGTGCAACATGTGTTTGCCGATTCAGTTGCAGAACGGGCACACGGTACGTAATCGTAAGCGTCGTCAATTTCGTTAAATGTCAGTGAAAACGTTCCGTCGCACGCAACGCGCATAGATAAAAATCAGTAGAACCTCGTTTTAATTTAATCCTCGATCGAATCGAAACTGTTTACATAAAGCATAATCGTGCGCGTGATATTTTCAGTGTGTTGAAAACGTTTCGCAATCGAATTGTCCGATCTGTCTGGAGGATATTCACACAAGCCGTATACCTTGCTACATTCCAAGCTGTGGTCATCTGCTTCATCGTATGTGCTTCGATGAACTGTTACATTCAGGATACTACGCGTGCCCGATTTGTCAAGTGTCTCTCCTGGACATGACCGATTTATGGCGATTTTTGGACACGGAAGTAATGTCGACGCCGATGCCACAGGAGTACAGGGATTATAATGTTGATATTCTTTGCAAAGACTGTCACGAAGTAAGGATAACAAGATTTCATCTTAAGTTCTCTTAATCGAAAAACGGTGACGATTTTCAATGGACCAATTTTTTAATCTTTCAGAAGTCAATGGTACCATTCCATGTTGTAGGTTTGAAGTGTTTAAACTGTGGAAGTTACAACACATGCAGAGTCAAAGGATCCTCTTCTCCAGGTACACATAACTACTGATCGACGTCTTTCACTTATTCTAATTTATTGTTTATTGTGTTTTAAAATGTTCAGCAGATCCGGATAGGCTGGACTAAACGTCTGGCGAGAGCAACGCGGGCAGCGAAGAGAACTCGCGATGCCGGAATTCTGAGTATTAAAATTGGAAGAGATACGTTTCCCAAGGAAGTGTCTCTTTCGAGCGTTTTTAAAAAAAGACACTAGGAAATAGCCTCTTCGGCATTATACCTCTTTACTTGTTTTTAGTGAATTTATACATCTTTGTTGATTGTTTTCAGACTTTTTATAGATGTTATTTTATTAGGAGGCTGAACGTAGCGACTGATCTCGATAATCAGTTCGCCTGTAATGATAATCATGAGACACCGAAAAAAAGTAATTGGATAGTCGCGCCTTGGCGCCTACAGCGTAGACGAGAGGTCAGTTTAAAAAGTTTTAACGTATAAGTAATTCGAATTATTTAATAAACAAATTTTGAATCGCGAATATCCATTCTCTGTAACGATAGCGACTCGTGCTGAAGCAGTGCGGCATGTTCTCGACAGCCTTTTAATCCTATTTCGCGATAATTACGGCACGGTATCACCCATCGCCTAGAATTTTACTCGCGCTGTCTCGAAATTAGATCCGTTTAATGAACCGTTTCGTAATGCGTGACTTGCTTTCGATGCAATCTTTTCGTAAAAGTACTAATCGATCAATACGTACAGGTAGTGCTAGTCAAAGAAAAGATCGAAGACTCCTCCTTCATCCTTTTAGCTATATTATTATCATCAGACAGCTACGAGTTCCTCTGTATCGACTACCTATACATAGATTCCCGATGTTATATTACGCAGCTATAGGTATTAGAGATAGAAAAATGATGAGATTACTACTAAATAAGACGCATTCTCTTATCTGTTGATGGATTATCGTGTGTACAATTTTCGAAAAGATCGTCATCTAGTCAAAGATCATTTTTTGATACGAACGTACGCTTTACATGCAGGAAAAAATATGTGCGCGGGGGAATCTCAGATAGTTGGGTGACGCAAGCTGATCGCTGAATCGTAGATATTTATGCAAATTCGTATTTTTATCGAGGTGTCTGAGAAATGAAATCCGAACGAACATTTCTTCCAATTTCTATCGATTGTAATACTTCGTTTTAAATATTTTACGTGGATTTCTTCTTCTGTAAACATCGAACATCTGGAATTTACTTATCAGCGCATTTTTTAGAAATCATAAATAAACAAATTCGTATCGCGAGCCTGCGAAATGATCTGTGAGATATCAGGCTACCGTATTAAGCTATCGAATTTTATCGGGCATTACCGTCATTTTATCGTGAATTGAAGTCCTAAACATAATTTTATTATGTTTCGGGGTCTCTTTTAGTGCACGCATTTACTCATGCGCTTCTCGATTGACGAAAAATCAATCAATTTGGATAATTTATGAGAAAATACACGTGCCAGTAGAATGACTACGTTTGCTACAGTTCCGAGATCAAAGATTTCGATTTCTTTTTCTCCAACGTGCACGTGATTGATCATAACTTTCAAGCAAGGCTAACGTGTTTAACTCGTTTCGCGCGGACAGCCAGTGATTCATGTTTATTTGTCGTAGCAACAACATTCTTAAATCTTTCTGATCCTATAAAAGACGAAATAGTGGTATTAATTTCAGTTCATTCCAATTTTTGTATGCATGTTTTGAAAAAAAAAAGCGTTTTACGATGTGGAAGCAGTATTTTACTTTTAAAATCAATCAACTAGGTAAGCGGCTAAGAACGTAGAACATACTTTATTACTATTTAATCTTAAAACTAAGGGAGAATAAAAAAGAATCGGACCGTGAAGAATGTGATACGATTGCTAACGAAGTTCCGAATGGAACGTAGCTCCACTGCGTAGTGCGTATTTGATCTTGAAATTTCTGTCGGAAACATCAAATTCGGACATTGAATAATGTGAAAAAACGCGCACGCAGGAAGTGCCTTAGAATTATTAATTATTCGATGTTCGTCGGATCGGTCATGAATACGATTATCTTGTCATGTTTGATTTGCATTTCTAAATAGCATATGATATAATTTGCGTCTTGATGACAAGGAGAGGTTTAATGTAATACGTTTGAAGCCCAAAATAAAATTGATTTTACATAAAGTGATTAAAGAGAGTATTCGCACACACTTATAATAACGTAGGTATTTAAATTGCGAATTAAATTTTCACAAACGTCTCTTCATTTTATTGGAAGTATTACTAAACACTTGATTAATTCTAAAATAGTTTCACGATGTGCAAATACTTTCCGCAATCACTTATGAGCTTCGTCTAATCGTTTGTTGAGCAATGTGTGTAACGGGTGGCTACCATGTGAGCACTTACCTCTTGTCCATTCCACGGCATATTTCGTAAAAGTCACATAATGATCTATGTCAAGAAACGAAATTAACACAAATGGTCAACGAATTAAACAAAATCGCGAGAGGATTCACTCGAAAGGTCGTTCACCGGTAGTTTCTTTTTTGGTGTGATTATCATCACGTCTTTTATTATTCAGTTGTAAATTAAATACCAGTTACAAAAAAGGCTCTTTGTACATAACGGCCGCAATAATGCTTTTTGTTTTATATTATATTATATATACTATTGTATCAAATAAACCGGCTATTATTCCATTCTTTTATCATTTTCGTACGAACGTGATAAGAAGGTCGCTACTGCCTATTAGCAAAAATGTCCAAGAATAAATTGATATAAAAGAAAAAATTTCATGTACGAAATTAATTGTAACATATAATACACGTATGAGTTGCTTCGCGTAAACATTCCTGGTGCCGTTGCCCTCTAAAAAACACAATTACAAAAAAAATGTATATAATTTGCGCGTATCTCAACGGGAACAAGCAATGTTTACCGAAGTGAAAATCTGCGAGATTCGCTACTCCTACGCTCTACCACTTTAATCTAAGACGATTGCAGTAGCAACTTCCTATCACCAAAAAACAAAAAAGTGCAAAAGCGTCTATCGTTTTGCTTTCGTTTCTGCGGTTTACTCGTGTCCGATGCGAACCCGCTGAGAATAAAACCTGCAAACGGAAGTATTCCCTCTCCTTTTCAGATGTAATTCCGTTTACATCGCGGTTTCATTCGGAGAAAAGAGTTTCGACTGTTTTCAATCATACCTTTGTCAATGCGCGGACGCGTTCGCCCTCGATCCGTAAATTTGCCTAATAGATAGATATATATCTCTTTTCCAATAACTTCGTTTTAGTTTAAACTCTTATCTCATCCAATAGAGAAAAGGCCGTATTCCTTAAACGGAAGCGCCGCATAGTTTTCATTCTTTCCTTTTAATTACGACTAGTTCAACGTCGCGTTCTTTTTTGTACCACGAAGTGCGACCGAGTCATCGCTGCTACAGCGAAGACTTTTAAAAATTCAGCGAACGAGGACGTAACGGCAGGTACCCGTTACTGCTGAGAAATCGTCGGGCAGCCTGCGTCATATCGAGTTGGTCCCGCGTCCGTCCACATGCTACCGCTGTCCATTGCGCTTCCAATTGTATCTTTAATTAAACACAGACAAACATCCTAAATATTGTACGTAATATTTTAAAACGTCTATATAATTTTTATCTCGAACAACTTTAATTATTGTAATGTAAATTTAAAAACTTCTTTTGATCCGGGATCAACGAAATCCGATCTATCGCGACAGGTGTCTTTCGAGCGTCCAAAAGGAAAGCATCCATACCACGCGAGAGGAAATCTGACCCCGGAATATCGAATCGCTAACGACAAAATCTATTGTGGAGAGTATAAAGCGAATTATAAATAAAAAAAAATAATAATTTACTCACCTTGGCGCGTTTAGCTGGCCTGAGCGGCAGAGGGCTGAGGATACAACAAGGACTGTCGAACGCGTCGAACGTGATCGCCCTCTTGGCGTTGGGCTTCCGTTGTACGGACACAAAGTCGTAGGAAGTCTGGAAAGGATAGACACACTAGCTACAGCCGGCGATTAAAAGAAAACGCGCTTAGAAAATGATTCGTTTCGAAACGAACAAGATAATCGTTCTTTTCAATTTTAAAGTTCGTTTGACTAGCCAGAACAAAATTTCTGTATCGAACACGTTTTAAGAGTTCGCGATAGAAAAATAGAGGGGATGTAGAGTAGTAAGAGAAAGGGAGACAGAAAGGACACGATTAGAGAAACAGCGAATAATTACTGGGAGTCTTACTCGAACAATTTTATTGTTCGTCCTTTTCTTAATACGCGTTTTTTTCACTGGGATACGTTATGCACTCGTGGATGAACTATACACCACGTTTCACATATCGTGGAGTGACTAGGCCTTTTGTATCGTTTCCTCTTTTTTCTTCGCATCGGTTGCGAGTCAGACTTTAAAGAGATTCGTCTCGTCACGACCGCCACACGAAATTGTTTCTTTGGGCTTGTGGGCTTCCTCGGGATAGGACTTAGGGTAGAGATGATGATGATGATGATGCTGGTGGGACTTCAAGGGATGGTGCTTTGGTACGCTAGGCCAGGCCTCTGTACAAAGGCATTCTTTCTTTTCTTTTCGTTCAAGTTAGTTTGTAAACATGCGGCAATTCAACGTTATTACCAAAGGAATAAAGAGTATATATATATATATAAAATATGTATATATATATTAATATAATAATAAATAGACGCTATATTTTTATATATATATCTATGTATATATATATTATGTATAATCGTGCGGGATGCGATTCGAGGGAATCGATCAAAGGACGAAGGAGCCACGATAAGACGATACATACATTCCGGAACACATGATTAACGCGTTTCATGCCGCGTGGATCACCGGTAATCCGTACCTTTCGTTTAGTACTTGAAACAACGAAGTGTTACTCAAGGCAGCGAGAGTAAAACTGTAAACACTTCAAGTAATATGATGAGAACAATGACTTTGATAATATTGAATCCTCTGTAGCAATTTTTCTCGTCCCATAATTTTACTTGTGCACAGGATCTATTATAATAACATGATTACGTCTTATTTCTCCAAAAAAAATAATACATTAATTTAACAGTGTCACCGGAATAGATGTTTCCAGTTCTCTTCGCCTCCTAGTACCGGAAGTATGCGAATAATTTACACGAGTAATCATCAACAAAAAGAGACAAAAAAAATTGATCATAATGAAGCGAGCCTCTCTATATATATACATAGCACGCGTAATTTAATTACCAATAAAAATTGATTGTACGAAAGGAAAAATGAAGCAAACAAAAACGAAACAAGACCGACTTTTTTTTTGCACAGCACCGGAGAACGCGTCGCGATTCTTTTTATCTTGGAAAGAAGTACGGATGTTTCCAATCTAGAGCAACGACGAACAGGTGGTACGTCGGTCGAATATGCATAAACAATGTGCGATGCACGCGAAAAGATAGAATAACTTAAGTACGATGTTTCCGGGTATAAGGGGGTAAAACCTTTACACCTGCTTAAACAATAACACGAAACCGTTTTTCGTTATTTCTCTCATCTACGAGAATACTAACGTCACTGGGTAAACATAAATAATTTAACAGGGAAAGCAAACGCGTCGTAAAAAATAATAAATTAATGTTATAAATAAATCAAACCGATAATTTACGACGTTATTAATATTAATGTTAGTCATGTTACTCCGTAATTATACACCTAGCACTTAATAAAAGAAAATCGCTAATAATCTTTGGATTGTCGTTACCAGGGCGACGAAAAAGGGATAGTTAGAGGCGAGGGCGGGGAATAAATACAGGGTTAAGTAGTTCTTCGCGCGCCTTGGTTGTTTTAAGATTTAGTTATAAGTTAAAAAAGGAATAAAAATAAAAGGCAATAAAAGCGACGAGCATATCCAACGTTAATCGACAGGCAGGCAAGACCGACTAATTGTAAGAAATACGCTAAACAAAGGAGGAAAAGAGACGAAATGTTAGACAAAGAAAAATTAAGAGAAGGCCGGCTAGCGTGTCTAAAGGCGATTGGTACGGGAATAATACCAGGATAGGGCTGGTTGCGTTTGAATTTGTGATTGATTATGGACATGATTCTCTACCTTCACGTCCCTAGTGCCTAGTGGGCTAGTTCCTGCTGTTAAGAAACTATCTTCCAACGCCATGGATGCCGGCGAAAATAATACAGACGTATCCAAACTTTTGCTCTGTAACACAATCAAGGAAAGAGGGAAATAAAAATCTAAGTCACAGAATTTGTTCACTCGTTTAATGCTAAATGAAAACTTACCGGTGTTTCTACAATGAAACTCATTTCGGAATTATCCTGAGAAGCATTTGCCCAAGCTTGACAAAGAGCTTTGCGCGCTCTCTTTCCACCGGGCGCGCTATTCTCCTTACCCCGCCTCCTGATCGTGCCGTAACCGGAGTCCTGGAGGATGCCACTGGTCCCTGCTAGACTTTCGCGATCGGTTTCCTGTTTTATAATTTCGGTTAAAGCGTCCAGGCGGCTTGGGGTGGCAGGTAACTGAGTAGTCGCGCCGCTTCGCCGTTCTAACTCGGCCAACGCATTTTTGAACGGTGTCGGCGTCCTCGGCGTATTGCCATCTTATAAAAGAATCGCGATATGATTAAGTATGTTTATACGAGCAAACGTGTATATTAAATGGATTAGGGAAAGTACCGTTCTGACTTCGTCGAAGACCAGTGGGCTGAGGTGTCGTGAGCGGACCCGGGCTGCTACCTTTCGGCGTGCTCGCCCGTGGCCACGAGGAGGTGTCCGGACTCAGGCTGTTCAAGAACTGTGACGGACTGAAAGGCAGTTGTTTAATGGGCGTGGATGGGGTGGTGTCACCAGTCTGTTGCTGCTGTTGGTTCATCAACATGTAATCAGACTGACTCGCGCTGTCAGGGGTTTCTGTCCTTTGCTGAAGGAGCTGAATATTTCTGCGCCGCCGCAGAATGGGGGGTGGACTGCTCCTCTCTTTCTCCGTTAGGGTGCTTGGTAACTCTTCTAGGTCTGGCATTGGCATTAATCTAATCTCCGAGCTCTTCGAATCAACTTCGTTTTGCATTTGTAAATCAAAGTACCTATGAACAAATTTTTTTAAATAAAGAACGTTGATTATATTTCGACAAATCATGTTATGCATTTTAAACGTACTTAGTGAAGGGTGATATTTGTTCAGTCTTGACTCTGGGAGAGGAGCTCTTCTTCGAAGGAGAATTTAGTTGTGATTCGCTCCCGTGCGTGCGTTCGTTCAGACTCAGCAGCGGATGGTAAGTCTGATCGCTCTGTTGATTATCCCAAGCCCTGGCCCAGTCCAGCTGGTCAATGCCTAGATTATGTTGTTGCGCGTTGCTCGATATGTTTTCCTTACTCGTCGACGCCTTCAAACGACTCTGACTCGGTAAATCTTCTTCTGTACACAGACTGTCTCTAGACGGCACCGACGCTTCCACCACAGCTTTTCTTCTACCCCTCCCTATTTAAAACAAATAATTAATCTTTATAAGAATTTTCCTCTTCTGATGATGTATAGCTATGGCTAACTGTTTATCCAGTTTTCTTATTTAATAAATCATAAGAAATAAAAGAACCTCTTGTGCCAGTGGTGGATCTGCCCTCTTCAGTCTCATACTTTCTTCTCATGGTGCTGTTCCAATGATTTTTTATGGCATTGTCCGTCCTTCCCGGTAACAGCTTCGCTATTTTCGCCCACTGATTGCCCACCCTGCGGTGTGCCTCGACGATGATCCTGTCCTCCGCCTCCGTCCACGCGGTTTTCTTGATACCCGGGTTCAGGTGATTGTGCCATCGTTCCCGGCACTGCTTACCGATACGACCCTTCAGATGCCGTGCAATTAACGTCCACTTCTTCGGCCCGTATCGTTCCACTAATTCTACCACTTTTTCGTCCTCCTGCGAACGTCACCGATCATCAGTTCACCGAACGCTTGGAGGGTATTTAGGATGAATGGTTGTAAACTATCGACCGAACATTGGAATTCATTTTCATATATAGTGTTTTATTTATTTAAAAAATTTTAACGTATATTTTTTTTCTACGCTTCAAATCTCATCCGTAGTACTGGATTAGAATAAGATGTTCATATTTCTTTATCGCATGAACGTAAACAGTCCCAGCTATAGGTGAGTCTCCGTCCTCGAACGTTGCCAATACCCCGTGCGAGTTCCCACCAACCGAGAATCCACCGGAAGGCAAGTTCGGCTCGCAAGTATTTTCTCGAAGGCGAGGAGAGAGTCGAAGGGAGGCGGAGAAGAACGTGGCGGTAGGTCTCCCGGACCGGGAAAGAGAAGAGGACACGGTGATGATCGTCGCGCACGAATAAGAGAGAAAAGGGCGAGGGGAGAGGAAGGGTTCGCAACGAGAGGACGCTCGCACACCATCGACAATCAGGTGCACACCAACGCGGCCCTCCATGACCGCTCCGCGTGTACGCGGAGGATTTACTTGTGCCCTTGGCTGTTGCCAAGTGCATTGGCACGGGCGCGCAGCATCTCCGCGGACCTCTCGCGGTCTCCTCTTTTTCTTGTTGCATACCCCACCGTGGCAACCGTCGCCACGGACAAAGACGGAGAGAAAAGAGGGCCTCCACGCTCGCCTCCGCTACGTGTAGGCGTACGTGGTCTGCAGGGCCGTGCCGTTATGAATCCAGACCTTCCAACCTCGGTCTCAGACAGAGGGAACTTGGATCTTAAACTCTGATCAGGATGCAATCGGAGAGAAGACGAAAACTTTGTTTAGGGATGTGTATGACTGTCTCTTACCTTACTTTACCTCTTGCATATCAAACAGGGCATACAAAAATATAATTAAAGGACATAGAACGAAGACTGACACTTTGTATTCAATTTAAGAATAAATTTAAGTCATATTGATGTATGAAAAGGATGAAGGGTAATTCCGTTGAGCGGTTTTCGACCAAGAATGTTTGAAAAATGTCAAGTCCACTGATTTACCTCTTTCGTCCACGGTCCCTTGACCAGCTCCGGATTCACGACCTTCGCCCATCTCTGTTGACACTGAACATCGCTCCGGTCTGGAAAGTGGCCGGCTATGGCGTCCCATCGAAGTCCGTTCCCGAGTTGCTCCGCGTTGCTCACTAGTTGCTTCAACAGAGCGTCCTGGAATTCATTCGAACGGGAACGCGCGTTACACAGGAGAAAGGTAGTTAAACCTTGATACGCTTTGCGAAAAGAACTCTGATAAGCGTGACCTCGTTTGCAAGCAGCTGCGTTCTCGATTCGCCAAATTCGGATTAAGAATTTCGATCGGATGCGCTTCCGGTTTAAAAGGACACGTTCGTTAGGATTGTCAGAGCAAAAAGATTAAATTTATTTTTTTACGAGAAAAGGCAATGAAGGAATACGCATAAACTAGAAACGTTTGATTCTTTAAAAAAATCGTACAGTATAAAATAAAATTTATGGAAACGCAATGAAGAGTTGAATAAAGTTGATTTGCGTCACAGTTGCATTAGGGTGGGAAAGAAAACAATGCAGAAAGGACGAAAAGAGGTCACATGACATATGCACGGGATCGATAGGTCTCTGAGATGTTTCCCACGGGAAACCATACGACGTGGCGCGCCCCGATACACTCTATGGCCGCGCATATGACTATGGGGTGGTCGAGGGCATCTGCCCGCGGACCTAACTCGTTGTAGAAGGTACGAAACGAAGGGTGGACCTTTTTCCGAGGCCCGTTCTCATTGTATTCCTCCCTTACGCGTTACATCCGATCAAAGTCACGGTACACGATGGCGCGATCACGCGTGCACTCCCCGAAATATCGAGCTACGCGCGAGGGGAATCGCAGGACACGCAGCAAAATTGTGATCATGAGCTTTCAAATTAATACAAGTCGGTCGAAATGATTTTATGCTGTGACCGGATATCTATTCAAATTGTAGTTTATGTTTAGATATTTTAAATAAATATGCAGCATTTATTAATTCAATATTTAATATTTAATATTTTTTAATGCGATGTATATTCAATATTTTTTAATTGCATGAAATTCACAATTCTATTTATCAAGTATTTTATTTAAGTTCGCGTGACTCGGAAAGGGTGTTTTTAGTGTAGAGCTTCCGATTGATTACCTCCTCTTTGGTCCACCTTCCTTTGTTTATGTGCTTCCCTTGCCCATGACTCGCGGTCGTGTTCGGATTCTGAGACTGATTGCCGGCCCCACGACAGACGCTGGCACTGTATTCGTTGTCAGACTCTCCGCCGCTACTAGAATCGTACCCAGACCGCGATCTGCAAAAGACAAAGAGGACGTTGTCCCTTGGTAACTCGTTCGAAGCCATAAAACGTGGACTCGCATACGCTCGTGCGAATTCTCCTTTGAAACCGGAGAGCATTAATTATACGAATTACGGCCATCAATTTGTTTCCATAAAAATTCGTAGGGACTCTTTGTTCAACTTTTAAGATTGTCGAAGTTCACGAAATTGACTCTGTAACGGATAGACCAGCTCCGGATTCACGACCTTCGCCCATCTCTGTTGACACTGAACATCGCTCCGGTCTGGAAAGTGGCCGGCTATGGCGTCCCATCGAAGTCCGTTCCCGAGTTGCTCCGCGTTGCTCACTAGTTGCTTCAACAGAGCGTCCTGGAATTCATTCGAACGGGAACGCGCGTTACACAGGAGAAAGGTAGTTAAACCTTGATACGCTTTGCGAAAAGAACTCTGATAAGCGTGACCTCGTTTGCAAGCAGCTGCGTTCTCGATTCGCCAAATTCGGATTAAGAATTTCGATCGGATGCGCTTCCGGTTTAAAAGGACACGTTCGTTAGGATTGTCAGAGCAAAAAGATTAAATTTATTTTTTTACGAGAAAAGGCAATGAAGGAATACGCATAAACTAGAAACGTTTGATTCTTTAAAAAAATCGTACAGTATAAAATAAAATTTATGGAAACGCAATGAAGAGTTGAATAAAGTTGATTTGCGTCACAGTTGCATTAGGGTGGGAAAGAAAACAATGCAGAAAGGACGAAAAGAGGTCACATGACATATGCACGGGATCGATAGGTCTCTGAGATGTTTCCCACGGGAAACCATACGACGTGGCGCGCCCCGATACACTCTATGGCCGCGCATATGACTATGGGGTGGTCGAGGGCATCTGCCCGCGGACCTAACTCGTTGTAGAAGGTACGAAACGAAGGGTGGACCTTTTTCCGAGGCCCGTTCTCATTGTATTCCTCCCTTACGCGTTACATCCGATCAAAGTCACGGTACACGATGGCGCGATCACGCGTGCACTCCCCGAAATATCGAGCTACGCGCGAGGGGAATCGCAGGACACGCAGCAAAATTGTGATCATGAGCTTTCAAATTAATACAAGTCGGTCGAAATGATTTTATGCTGTGACCGGATATCTATTCAAATTGTAGTTTATGTTTAGATATTTTAAATAAATATGCAGCATTTATTAATTCAATATTTAATATTTAATATTTTTTAATGCGATGTATATTCAATATTTTTTAATTGCATGAAATTCACAATTCTATTTATCAAGTATTTTATTTAAGTTCGCGTGACTCGGAAAGGGTGTTTTTAGTGTAGAGCTTCCGATTGATTACCTCCTCTTTGGTCCACCTTCCTTTGTTTATGTGCTTCCCTTGCCCATGACTCGCGGTCGTGTTCGGATTCTGAGACTGATTGCCGGCCCCACGACAGACGCTGGCACTGTATTCGTTGTCAGACTCTCCGCCGCTACTAGAATCGTACCCAGACCGCGATCTGCAAAAGACAAAGAGGACGTTGTCCCTTGGTAACTCGTTCGAAGCCATAAAACGTGGACTCGCATACGCTCGTGCGAATTCTCCTTTGAAACCGGAGAGCATTAATTATACGAATTACGGCCATCAATTTGTTTCCATAAAAATTCGTAGGGACTCTTTGTTCAACTTTTAAGATTGTCGAAGTTCACGAAATTGACTCTGTAACGGATATGGCCATTTTTTGTTACCGGTGTAAAGGCAAAGGCAAGGACGGGAAATCACGGATGGCTGACCATCCGCGGGTTCCTTCCTCTTCTTTGTCGAAGGAACCATCGCCACCCCTTTTGTTCTTCACCCTTCCCGACAGCCAAGAAACAATCTTGACCACAGCCTGCTCAAGTCTTGTGGTCGCAAACGATTCGTTGCTTCTTCGTTTTCAAGGATTTCCTGTCTGCTTCCTCCGCAAACGATGGTTATTCATTTTCACTCCCTACTCCCACCCGCTTCTTTGATTCATTTCTTCGTGCATATAAAAGCGGATAGATATCTTTCCCATAAGATTTTATAAAAAAAGACTGCATTGTCATTAAGTTTTCTATAAAATTATATTAAATGAGATTTAATCGAATACTTCAATTATATGTATGTTTTCCTTTTTCCTAAATGTTTCGAACGTTTGTAAACCGGAAGTGCCTCATAGAGTGAATATAAGTACTTTATAGATGCTACTTTGAAGTCCCTCTGTATCCGTCAAGGTCGTTTGTAGCAATTCCGCCAATCAAAATAAATAAATCTACTTTCAGCAGGGTGTTCCTCAGTTAAGGTCCATACAACGAGCGTGCAATCTCTTTTTAAAAACTGTCTTAGCAGTTAGAAACTATGGTTCCAATTAGGAGAATTCGTGTTTTATATACACACAGTACTAAAGATTTAAGCAACCTATTACAATATTAAATGAGTGAAACTGTAAAAAGTGGGAAATGAACGTTGCAGAAAATTTCTTATCAGGGGTAAAGGCATCGCAGTTCACGTTACACAACGAACCGTCATCAAGCGCAATTAATCAACGGTCAGCAGCTAACGTATTTACATTCCAGTAGCTGTGGCGTCTATGTTCAAAGGATGACGTAATTCGGCGACGATAGCGCGGTCAACGCGAGAAGAAACCGTCGTATGTAAGTACGCAGCATGCGTTACGTATGTGTCGACTCCTCCACAGGAATGAAACACAACGAAGCTCAACGGTCTCCCTGGTAGCTTGTCGTGTTTACTGTTCCAGTCAAGCCACGGTCGCATTTCCGCTGCACGCGGTTAGATATCGAGCCAAACGGTATTCGTTTTACCCTTTTGTTCCGCCGCATGTTTGGGAGACGCCGATGTGGCGCCCAAGCCAAAAACTACGGATATTATAACACAATTTTTTTTTATTTGTATTATGAAAATATTAATTAATAGAAATGCCACAGCTAGAAATAATTAAACGTTAAGCTAATCAAGCAACAGGAAATCACTGGTTACCCTTGAATCCTTAATTAGTCATTCTCGATTAGTTTGAGGCCGTCTATCGTAAATTTCATCCGGCTGTAGGTCAGCCGAGGAACAATTTGACGTTGGGGAGAACCTCTCCGAGGCCAGGGGCAGAAAATAATGTTAACGATAAGGTTCACCGGCCATCTGCGATTCGCATATGTTTATACGTCGCGTATGTGGTATCCTATCGCTCCTGAACCTCCTATTGTACTTCGCTGCAGAATATGCACGTACACAACGCAGGCTCACCTTCCTCTCTCGGTATACGCAGCTGCTTAAGGGTGTGAGAGAGAAGGAGAGCGAGAAAGGGGCGAACACGAGGGTGAAAAAGCTCTTGCGAGCATGAAAAGGGAACCATGATTTGGCTCGTGCTCTTTGAGTCCATCGGCACATTTCTGGATTTATACAAATCCTTTTACCTCATACAATTACTAAAATCTTTTATCATACGTTCTCAATTTTCTTCTCCCCGCGTCTTACGGGGTCAAAATGAGACGTGTATCAACCTCGATACGGGCGTGGCGTGGTAACATGCAGGAAACGCGCGTTTCCATCTCCGCAGCTGTTTTAAGAGTGAAACTCGCATAAAAAGCAAACTGATACACCCTGTAATTGAGCTTCTAATTGGCGGAGCGCGGCAATCTTCGCCGCGCCGCTCGAAACACATTTTACTTTCCGCAGGTGCACATATGTTTACGTTCCCCGGTATGCAAGCCGGGAATACGTTATGAACCGATCGGGAGAGTCGCGAGGGAATGCTAGGAAGCGAAAGGGGAGTGCCCAGCCGAAGGTTCAGGTGGAATTCTCGTCTCGCGTCGCCGAGGGTAAAGCGAGACCCGCGAAATTCGTGAAACTATGCACAAATAAATACTTGCACGTGAGCCGAAGCGCGTGACGAGATTCGCTGAGCAGCCTTTATGCATTTCCAGCTTCGACCGACCGTTTCCTACTCTCGCTACGGCGAATGCGAATTAACATTTTATTTATAAACTTGTTAAATTGTCTCCAACGTTGAGAAAAATCAGACGGTGTCCAAAAAGTGAATCGCATTCTTGTGCATCCCTCTTTTCACTTTCTGATTTGTATGGCCAAACGAAAGTACAAAGCGAAGGCAGTACGTGTCTGGAATGTCTCGTGAGTACATACGTATAAGTTCCATTCAAATTTCAGACCAAGAATGAAGTAGACGTCGCGGACCACGTGCACCCATGAGTCACGTATGATTCGACGCGTCATACATGGGTGAAATACATAAAGTGAATGAGAAAAGTGTTTTTAAATTGATTTCAATTCCATACGAACTTCACGCTTTTTGCAGTTAAACTGTTTATTAAATAAACTAGTCTTCATGTATTTAAAGAAGATCTTGTATCTTCTGTCTGTATCTTGTAATAATATCCAAGTACATAAAGAACATTAAAAATGAAGTGGATATTATCGTTTGTAAATGGCAATAGAAATCCTTCTCTGAATTGATACATAAAAAATGTTTTATCTTACACGAGAATCCGCAGTCTACTAATAATGCCGAACGTGAATATTCATTGGACTTATAATTTATTCGCGATGCTCGCGGTCGACCCTACACAGCTCGGAGTTAACAAACACGGTGATCCTTTCTATCTACACCAGACTCGGCTATCGCGCCACGGTGTACATATACATACGTATGTAAAGGGTGTGTGCACATATTTTCGCGGATCGTGAGAATGCCTGAGGAAGTCCTGAGTTCAGAGCCACGTGCCCCGGGATTTAAACTCAAGGATGCCCGCGACCGTTAGAACTTCCACGAAGGCGAATGGCCTTACGTAACGAAAGAGAAAAAGAAATGAGACGAGCGAAACTTCTCGAGTCGGATCGTCTTCGTTCAAGTATTTGCTATTCCCAGACCTATTTTTATCCTCCTTTTCGCGTGTCACAACTAAGTAGGTAAAGGGCCGAGAGAGGTGAACGGAGAAATGTTAGATTAGAACGTGTCAAAATATGACGTACCTTTATTTTACCTCATTCCCGTTAATTCGTACGTCGTAAACTCAAGAACTTATATGAGACTTTTTTTATTACGTAATATTTGAATAGCGTGAGCGGATGTAACAGGATTTAGGGAACGGTGTAAAGGAGACGGAAACGGAAATAGAAGTGGGAAACTGGAGGAAGATGCGGGAGCGATAAGTCGAAGAAAGGCACGTGGACGATTGTGGAACGTGTGATAAAATCGTCATGATTCCATCGAACGCGTGACAACAATCGCGATGGAGACAAGGGACGACGCGAAACGACCCGAGACAGTCATTAATCAATTTAGGGTGGCAACTCCATGGAGTAAATTGCAGGGTAGAGAGAGAACGAAGGAAGGAGTGACGTAAGGAACGAAAGTGTGGGGGAGGAAGAGAGGAAACGGAGAGAGAAATAAGGAACGTGAAAAAGAGCACGCGAGAGGGCTGGGCGTGAATGAGAGCGCAAACAGAAGACAGGGCCAAGTGGTGACACAGGAAAGGGGAGGATAATATGCTGCCGGATCACGTCGGATCTTATATCTTTCTAGCCGCTTACTTCGATGCCTGTTACTTCCTGTTGGTCAGAAGACTAATTGAAATTTCCTGGCTCGACAGTCCGACTGACGACGGTGAACCTAAATTATACTCTGCACCGAAGAATAAACCCGTTGTACAGTTTTTACACATTGTACGTACCCCGTGGTTTTCTGCATATCCATTGGCAACAATACAACTTGAAAGGTTTTTTTAAGCACGTAGGGAGACGAAAGTCAAGACCTCTTCTCCTCCCCCTGAGTCGAACGAAGCGTCACGCGTACTCGAGGTATCGGTTGCTATGCCTTCCTAACTGGAATACTTTACTACCGGAGGTCGAGGACGTCCGGTCGAAATTTCCAATCGACTGGGTTCAACCTCGACGACAAGAAATCGAATGAATGAACAAACTCTTGGTTTGTACTTAGCGTTTACTTGAAAGCCGGCGACGTAAGCAGGTGTTGTGGAACAGCTGCCCCCTTTGTCTAGGACTCCAAATGTCGTATGACTTAAGACCGGTGTAAATTCGATAACAACTATTCACTTAAATATTGCCAATAAAGTGAAAACCTGTAGAAGTTACGTTCTGCGATTGAAAAGAAAGTCGGAAAGCCTTTCGCGCATGTTTTGACCTGAGTTTGGCCCAAACGATGACCGTCATAAAACCGTCCCAACGACCGTAAATCACTGAGATTCGAAGTTTTTTAGTACTCGCCAACGTGTTTCTGATTTAACACGTGTTGCATGAAATATTGGCAGTCTCAGCAGTTGGTCGACCAACCTGTGGCTATGTACGATAGTCGATTCGTCAAACAAACAGCGTAATTCCGGATGTAGAAGCGCAATAACGCATACCTGAAAGTTTAGGGTGAAAAGTTTCTCAGTTTAAGAAGTTCATTGTTATAAGTAAGGCTGGGTTTACGGTCATCGTCTGGTGCCCAAATGTTTTCTGCAGTTC